AAAGAATAAAAGTATAAAAAACCCAATGACTAATATTTACCTAATTCTGATTGTGCGGTTACAAGATACTTTGAAGGAGTCAGTCACCACACTCAGATTCATGATTTAAAAATACATTCCTAAAGCTCTGAGGGATAGTAATAAGGTCACAGGAAAAGTCAGTGGCACAAATCTATTTAAATTCTCTCATTTTGCTCACAAATATTTCCTAAATGAGAAGGCAACTATAAAATATTAACCATTATAATCAATTTTCTAAAGATCACTCTTAAAAATCTCATCAATTCAAATGAGTTTCTTCCTACTTAGTTGAAAAATAGAGTTCTACCTTTCCCTGGAAGGGCACGTCCCTTTCGACATAAAGAAGACATCATTTTATTTCTTACCCAACTTGAATCATTAACCCCAGTAATTTAAGTTTACTGAAAGTCCATTTCTTATTTCAAATTAATTTAATGAACAGAATAGACAGTGCCAATTAGATCGCTAAATTTCAGTTATACCCACTACTCATGTATATAAATGGTAACTTTAAAGGAGAGTTTATATACCAAAGGCATATTCTTTAAGGCAAAACCCATTGTATATTTTCTGCTGCAACCCCTGGAACAGTGCCTGGCACTCACTCACTACCAATTGAATGAAAGAATATTACGATTTTTTAAAAATTACAGCGTACCTGATCTTACAGATCCAAATGCTCAGTTAGGTAGGAAGGATGTACACACGGTCTAGCGATTTAGCCATTATTCTAATCCCTTCTGGAATTCTCTTATTGGAATGCCTGTCTTAGACCAAGGAATGTGGTTTTGAAGGATTTATTGGTGGCAAACTCAGCTTTTGTGAGAGCATCTGCTATTTAGAAAATGCAAAAGGCATCTGGAGCCCAGTCTAGTAAATAAATTGAGCAATCGAACTTTTAATCTCATTCATATGTGATTAGACACTAACGAGATTCATTTTCTGATGCATTTCATAAACTATATCTGAGAGCAATTCTAAACAGGAACTCCACAGATGTTTTGAAGAATGGTGGTACCACTGAAAATATATAGTATAGGTGGGCAACTGCCTTACATAGAGCTACTTTCCTTGTGTACTTCTTAAAAATATCTTGTGAGTTTTTGTCACACTAGAGAAACAAAATTCCAAGTGATCCTTATTTCATATCCCCAGGCGGTGTCTGTAGATTATTTGAATTTGAGTGTGACCCAACCCTGTTCCTTCAGTGACTTGGATCAGTGGTCCCAATTGCCATGAGGAGTTTCAGTTTGTGGCCGTCCTTGTTGGTCCTTCAGGACACCAGAAGGCATGGCGTTAGTACCTTTGCCTCTTCAGCCAATTATGTTTTTAATGAAATTAAAATAATGAGCTTCTGTGCTACCTATTAACTTCCTACATGCTGAGATGAGAATAGCTTGAAGCTGTGGAAAAATGCTGATATACTTAAAATAAAGAACCAAAATAGCCATATGAACAAACCTCAGGGAATTTTAACCAAGAAATTACTGCCAACTAAACTTCAGCCAGTCTAAATGCTGAATAATTTATTTCAAAAAGGAACTAAATTTTTAATCATTGCCATGCTTGTCAACACTTTCCTAGAATAATAAACCTAACCATTTATTAAAAAATGATGGACGGGACCGTTTTCACAAACCTTATCGGTCTCCCCATGTATCAGTGGAAGCAGAAATGCACAGATGACTTTTGGCGAGCACAGACATTAGTCAGGGGCATTTGTAGTTCATAATGAAGAATGAGAAAATAAACAGCTACAGTCAGATGGCTCTTCCACAAAAATTGCTGGCTTCCACGGGGCCCTTCCCACAAGAACAAGAGATGAACTGAAAGCCAACTTTGCTCATGGTTCAGGATAGGTCACTATTATCTTCTTCTCTCTCTCCCCTTTTTGTGTTCATTATATTAAACCCACTGTTGTGAGGTAGAAGGCTGGAGTAACTAATCAGAAAATTCAGGCAACAGGGCATTCGAATAGGTATTGTAAACATATTCCATATTATAAAAACAATATACATCCATCTTAGACAATTAAGGAAATAAGTTAACAATCAAGAAGAAATTTGAAATTACCCAGATCTCCACCATTCAGAGATAATCAGTTAAAATTTTGATGCATTTCCTTTTCAGCTTCTTTAAATCAATTATATGCAAATGATTTAAGATAAAGTTAGGAGCAGATATATTATTTTGTATTTTGCTTTTTTGAACATTTTCCCAATGTTAGTAAATAGTTTTTTAAAAAATGACCAAATTATTTCAACTCAAACAATGAGACTAATGTTGACCAATCTTCCTACCATGGCAATCTTGGGCTCTTTGCTTCTGTGATCAGTAAAATTTAAAGGAAAAGGAAAAATTAAAACAAGAATGTATAGCTGCTGAATATACCTTAATTTGAAAATGTTATGTTCCTTTTTTTTTGTTGTTTTTGGTAAATGGCTAGGTCGTATTGGTCAGACCACATGCTGACATGGGAATGTATTTCTACCAAATGAGTCAGTTGAGATTTTAAAAAACAAAAAAAACCCAAAAAACTCAAACACCTCCCAATTGTTCTGAAGGATTAAGAAAAAGAACAAGTTGGTCTTATTGGCTTTTACTAACAAAAATAACCTCAAAACCTGGCTTCAATATATTTAAAATAATAATATTAGCTGTTTCTGCTACCCCAGTGGGAACAGAGTTGTAATAAACTGCATACTGTCTGGTTTGGTGTGATTTTAACCCGGCAGGGGGCTCAAAAGTACTTGTTCCATAGTCCAAGGCTGAAATAGTAAGAGCAGGCCTCTCTTTTATCCATGTTTTCCTGAGAAGGAATTCATGTGTAGAGGACAGTGAACCTGGACATGGGCAGCTGAGACGCGCTGTGGAAGATGATGGCTTCCCTCAGTGCTACCCGGATAATGTATCCACTGGAGCTAAAATAACACTCTGTAGGGACTGGAGTGTTTTTGGTGTTTGCTTTTATTTGGGAATGGCAAAGTTTAGATGAAAAGAAGATGGTGTGATTGTTGTAGGAGGAAAGACTCAAGGGACGGGGCAAAGACATAAACAGGAACTGTCGCTTCTCCTCCAACTTCTTCCAAAGTTCAAATACTGTATTGTCTTAGGTCTGGTTTCTTGGGAAAGTCTCATCTTGGTTGGATCCCTTAGGAGCTGAAAGAATCATTTCCTATTTCCCCAAACTCTGCCCAGAGGATTTTGGGCCGTGTGACAGCCAAGCCTTCTTGCAGAGTGTCACCCATGTTCCTTGTGTGTACATGAACCACAGCTGAACATGACTGCTCTGGGGCCCAAGCAAGGCCGTGGTAGTTCACTTAAAAATGCTTAAACTGAAAGGATGGTGTCTCAGTTGCATGAGTGAATCTGCTGATGAAAACAGACATTTGTGGGGAACCCCCAGAATATTTGGGTGGAATTTAGAGGCACCCCAGGTCTTACACTAGCAGATAGCTGCAACAGCGAATTACATTTTGATTACTACGGTTACTGTTACAGCATCTGTGTCCCTCCTGGTGAGACGGAGGCCAGATAGAGACAAAGCAGTGACATTTTACACGTCTTAAGCTAATTATAATGGGCTGCTATTGACTGAATGCTTGTGTCCCTTCAAAATCAGATGTTAAAGTCTAATCCCCAGAATGATGGTATTTGGATGTGGGTCCTTTGGGAGGTAAATAGGTCCTGAGAATGGTGTCTCCATGCTGGAATTAATGCCCTTGTAAAAAGAGACAGGAGAGAAATGATCTCTCTTGGCCAGTAGGAATACAGTGAGAAGGTGGCCTTCTACAAGTCAGGCAGAGGGCCTTCATCAGACTCTCTGGAATACTGCCTTGCTCTTCGAATCCCAGTCTGTGAGAAATAACCTTCTGTTGTGTAAGCCTCCCAGTCTATGGTATTTTTTTAGGGGAGCCCCAAATGACTAAGACCCAGCACTGAAGTAATTTTTATTTACCAACCCCTGCTTGTCAGAAACAATTGGAAAACTACATTACCCATAGCTTCAAGATGTTTGGAAATCCTTTTGTTTTTCTTGTATATATTTCATATTCTAGACTAATTTTTTTCCCCTCTGGCTCATCTTTCTAATGAATACCTTTCTAAATTTATGATTTGAAGCATTGATTCCCCCACCCTGAGGTTGCTTTGTATAAATAAAAGATTATAGAAAGGTAAAACAGATGACAAAATAAAATATTAAGAGAAAGCCGAATTTCACAAATGGAAATACATAAAAATATTGCCATCTGATGCTGGTTAAAGAGTGTAAACTTTCAGTTATAAGATGAATAAGTTCTGAAGACCTAATGTACAGCATGGTGATTATAGTTAATAATGATGTAATATAAGCTTGAATTTGTTAAGAGAATAGATCTTGGGTGTTACCACCACACACATACACACACACACACACACACACAGTGGTAATTATGTGAGGTGACAGATGTGTTAATTAGCTTGATTGTGCTAATCATTTTACAATGTATACATATATCAAAAACATCACATTGTACACCTTAACTATATGCAATTTTTGTCAATCACATCTCAGTAAAGCTAGAAGAAACACAAATAAATTATACACGAATAAGGCTTTATATTGCATCATGGATTGTAATAATGAAAGCATAGAAACAATATAAATATTTACTAATGGAAGAGTGCTTAAATAAATTATGGCAAATATATCCACACAATGAAAATCAAGGCAGTCATTAAAAAGATTAAGGAAATTCTTTGTAAACTGATCTGAAAAAATCTCCATGACCTCTTGTTGGGTAAGAAGAAAAAAAAAGTTGTAATCTGGGTGGGGCAGAGAATTGGAGGGAAGTGTAGGAATGCAGAAAAATGTTATGAAAGTTTTTCAGTAAATGATTGGGTAAACAGACAGAGCCCAAGGTTAAACCAGGGTGCCTTTTGTTGGCTTGTAGCTTGGGCAGTATTGTCCAGGCTAGTCCAATGGCAAGATCTATAAATCAACTCTACCCTGGTTGCTATATCCAGCCAGAGTGCTAATGCTGGTGTTATTAGATAATTTTGTAAATTCAGGATTAAAAAATTGATGTAACATGATATTGTTATGCAAGGTATGTCTTTGTAAAGATCATATCAATGTAGTAAATATTGTCATTATGCTTGATCAGATTTTAAGGTTTGTGAGATTAAAATGATTAGCTTTATTGTATTTTAAAGTTTATTTGAGTCACAACAGTTGATTAAATTTTAGAAAAGATGTACTTATTAAATTTGTTAAATTTACTTAAGAAGCATTTGACAGGATGTATTAAATATAGATGTGTTAAAATTATAGTATGAAATGTCAAGGAAATTTTGTCAGTTATTTAAGAGAGAGAATTTAGTTTTTTAAATTTATATGTTAATTTAAACATTAATCAAGGACTGTGAAAATGACTTCTTAGTTTGGGGCAATTACTATATTTCTAAGTGAAAAAGAAACAAGATTTGTAAGCTGAAATTTAACATTAACAAAAACTGAGATCCTTAATTTATAGCTTTAATAAATTAAATACTAATTTTAAGCCCTGCTAGAGTAAGCCCTTCTTTCTGGACAGAAAAACTCTCCAACTTTTAAAAAACTCAACTGATTATTCCCATTTTGATCTCAGAGACACAGGGTAACTTAAGTTTCTGAGTTGGAAAAAGCTCAGGAAAAACCTAATATTGTCTTTGACTTTTAAAATCCCTTTCCAATCAATATCCAGGTTATTTTCACATTGAGGCAGGCCTTACATTGACCTTCACTTCTTTCCCCCTTGGGGATGCCACTGGAGGGCAGGCAGAAGCATGAAATTTAATTTCCCCCACCTGGCTTCCTAGAGAGGAATTAATTGCAAATATTTCTGTTCCTTTCCTACTTCACCTCTTTTATTGGCTTTCTAACCTCACTCTTCTCCTTCTGCAACTATACCTAAGAAGCAATTTACTTTATACAGAATTTCTCAGGGTCATACAAAAGTATCCAGATGTGACTTCATGTGTGCCAGCGTCCACAGGTGATGGAGGAGGCCTTGTGCATTTGCTGTTCCTAAGGGGGTCATGCTATTCCTCGTCTCTGGGACTGTGATGCCCTTTCTTCTTTGTCTAATTCACTCCTTATTTTTTGGTATACAGGACGACGCTCCAACCAACTGAGCCACCCAGCCAGGGCCACTCCTTATTTTTTAAAATCTCATCTTTTCGTGACTGCTTGAATATATTTTTTCAAGATTTTCTTTATTTCCCCTCAACATGATTGAGAATCATTCCTGTTGCTGTATGTAGCTGTTGTTATTCCATTCTGTTCATTCATTTCACTATTGATGGACATTTTAGGTTGCTTTCAGTCTTTTTCAGTTGTTACAAGCAACGCTGTTATAAATAATCTTATACTGGTCTCCTGGTGTACACTTATAAGAATTTTGCTAGGGTCCCTAAGTATCTAGAAGTAGAATTGATGAGTCAGCTCTAATAGGTGATGCTGAAGGATGTTCTATTTCTACTGCACTGCAGTTGTCAGAACTTTTATTTGCCATTCATGTGAGTCTGAAATTATGTCTCATTGGGGTTTTAATTAGCATATTTTATTATAAATGAGTTGGGCATCTCTGAATGTTTATTAATTTTTGGTTTATTTCCTTTGTTAAATACATGCTCATGATTTTTTTGCCTATTTTTCCATTGTGTTATTATTTTTAATAGAGTTTAGCACATAGGAAGATATATAAATATGCGTGTATTTTTGAATACATAAAGAGCTATATTAGAGTAGTTCTTTACACATTCATGATCTAATTCTTTATCAGTTTTGTGCATGGCAAATACCTTCTCCCAGTTGGTAGCATGTACTTATTTTTCACTCCTTTCATGGTATCTTTAAATGAACAGAATTATTTTAATCTAATTAATTTTGCTAACGTTTTCCTTTATATTTTTATCCTTTAAATTGTGTTGAAGAATGGCTTCTGGACCCTTAAGTGATAAAGATAGTCTCATATTTTCTCCTAAAAAGTTCTTGATTAAAAAATAATCTTTTTATTTTGAAGTAGCTTCAAGTTTATTTTGTTGAAGAGATAAAAACAATACAAAGTATCTACACTACACCCAGATTCATACGTTGCTTACATTTTATTTCCATTTCCTTTCGCATTCTCTCCCTTTTTTCTCTTTTAAAACTTTTAAAAGTAAGTTAAATAAAATGACTCTTTATTCCTAAATACTGCAGTGTATATTTCCTAAGAATCGTTTTTAAATTTTGCTTTTCCCATTTAAATACTTGACCCTTCAGGAATTTTCTTTTGAATAAGTTGTGAGGTAGAATTCAATACAGTTTCTTACAGAGATAAATTAGAATCCCTCACTATCTGAAAATAGTTCACACTTTCCTCTGTAATGTCACTTCCAACAAATATCAAGTTTTTGCACAGGCGTAGATCTGGGTCTGGCTTACTAGTCTCTCCCTTATGAAGGCATTGTAGAAGCCATGCTATGTGGTTGAGAAAGTCACTTACTTTCTTTATCTTCTTTAAGAGTGTTTTGACTACAATAAGCTATTTGACCTTTCATATGAATATTAGAATCAGCTTGTTGACTTCCAAGAAAAATCATTTGGGAATTTTGATTGCAATTTCATTAAACCTATAAGTCAATTTTGTGAGAACTAACATCTTTGCAAAACTGAGCCATGTGCTTTGTGAAGTTAGTATGTCCTTCCATTTATTTAGGTATTTTAAACTATCTCTTAATACACATTTATAGATTTTTTTTGTTTGCAGAAAAGTATTGCATATTTCTTTTGTATTTATTACTAAGTATTGTGCATAATTTTTGATATTGTAAATGGTATCTTTTTAAAATTTAAAATCTCAGTGTTATTGGTATAGAGTACAATTGACTTTTACAAATTGCCATTATATTTAGTAACCTTGCTAGAAGGTCTAATGTAATAATTTTTTTTTCAGGTTTCTTATGCAGGCAGTCATATGACCAGCATATAGTAATAATTTTGTGTCTTCCTTCCCATTATTTATATATTATATTTATTTTTCTTGCTTATCTAGGATAACTAGGCCCTCCAGAACAATACTGAATAGAAGTGAGAATGGATGTCCTTGAATTGTTCCTGATTTCAAAGGAAAAATACTTTTTAACATCTCAACATTAAATATTTACTGTTATTTTTATGAGAACTTTTGATCAGATTAAGGAATTTCTCTTTTATTCCTAGTCTGCTGCATATTGAGTTTCAATGAATGGTTTTTCTGAATCTATTAAGATGATCATATCCCTTCCTCCCTTTAATTTGTTATGTCAATTATGTTGATAGATTTTCTAAGGTTGAACTAACTTTGCATTCCTAAAATAAACCTAATTTGATTATAATATAATACATATTATGCAGAACCAAATTTACTAATATTTTGTTCAAGATTTTTGCTTCTATTTTCATGTGTGAAGTTTTTGTTTTGGTTTTTGGTAAAAGAATTATAGTAATTTTGTAAAGTAAGTTGAGGTGATGTTTCCTCTTTTTCTGCTTTCTGAAAGAATTTCATAAGATTGAAAGTATCTGTTTCTGTATTTGGGGAACACTCACCTATAAAACCATGGAGGCTTAAAGTTTTATTATGGGAAGAGTTAAACTACTGATTTAATTTCATTTGTAGTTATCAAACCATCCAGAGTTTCTATTACCACTGGAGTCACTTTTGGTAACTTATATTTTTCTAAGAATTTGTTTATTTCATCTAAGTTTCTATTTATTTAAAAAAAACTTCTTTATATAATTCTTTATAATCTTAAAATCTCTGCTACATCTGGGGTTTGGTCCTTTCTCTCCCCTCAGTTTTAATATTGTTTACTAACTTTTTATCTTTTACTTGATCAGTTTTGCTAGATATTTATCCCTGTTAGTCTTTTTAAAGATCCAACTTTTGTCATTTTGATACTCTTTATTGTTTTTTCCTATTTTATTAATTTCTGCTCTTGTCTTTATTATTTCTTTTCCTCTATTTTCTTTGGGTGGATTTTATTGTGTTTTTTCATAGTTAATTGAATACTTAGTTCAGCAATTTTTATTTTTTACTATAAGGAATATAATAGTGATATCAATTTATAAAATAAATTTCCTTCTCGTATTGTTTTTTTCCCCTCTAATAGTCTGGAAGTTACACATTTTATTTCTAGGTTTTTAGTGGCTAATGTTAATATTTTATTCTTCTGAATAATCCAAGTATCTCCATACGTTTTAGATATAATTACCTCTCTATCAGTTTCCATGTTATTGCCAGGTATTTGATTCTGTCTTATTTTTATTTTCCAATCCCTACAAATGAGATATTATTGCCTTTGTTACTCCCTAATAGTAAAGTCACCATCATTTTGGGTCCCAAGTTAATTCTTTCAAGTTCAAAGATAGTCCCACTCACTTACACTAGCTTTCATAGCCGTAAGCTGCGTGGATTTCTAGCCCAGGAGGGACTTGGAGGACACCACGACCATTTCAAATCAGATTCATGAAATCATGGCTGCTTCTGAGAACTGTTTACCTCAGACAAATTTCCCCTTGATTGCGATGATCACATAGTGTCTACTCTCTCACCCCTTTCCTGTTTTCACGCCGACACACCGTGCTTTCTTTCTACTGAAACATCTTTAGGGGAATTTTCTAGTACTTTCAGAAACCTGTTTTTAAAAATAAAATCAATAAACGATTTCCCCTTTTACTGGATTCCATTCATGTCCACTGGTTCCCCTCGCCCTTCCCTGCAGTCTTGAATCTTTACTGGCAAATAAAGAATCTGGGTACAGGCACCAGACACTTGATACGTGAAAACAAAGAGCCTCATTACATAGTGGAATCATGGCCTCTACTTGTTGGAGCGCATTCCATGTGCTTCCTGAGCAAACATTTCAGAAAAACGCTTTAAGACAACAGACTCTATTGGGCCAACGCAGCACAAAAGGGGGCCAAGTAAAAGCTTATGATAAGAGTGGATTAGGAGTATTCTCTCTAAAAACAAAGCTGTATTTCTGAACCGGTTTGCGTAGGGTCAGAGCAATTTAATTCTTTTTCCTTACAGTCCTGCTGTGAGTGAAGCAACACCGGATTTCAGACTGTACAGGAGCACAGCCTTGACCGCTGGCTGTCCCGCTCTGAACCCCAGGGCCTGACTCCAGTGACTGTCTCCACGTTTCCCCTGTAAGCTGTATGAGGCTCTTTTAATTTTGGTCTACCCCCAAGCTAATTGCATGTCAAATTCACAGAAGGGGTGGGGGAAAAACAGCCAGTCTGAGAGCAGATGCCAACCTCCTGTGGCTATCATATCAGGAGGCCCCCACCAAGCCAGGCCCCACGGTGAGGGCAGCATGGCTTTCCTGCAAAAGTTGTGGGAGAGAAGACGACAAGACTTTGGAAAATGTATCTGCAAAGTTAAACCCCAAAGCGGCAGTGATGACTCCTGGTGAGAAAAAGAAAAGTGGGCAGAGAAAGTTAATATGTGGACAAGACATTCTGTTTGCAAAATCTACACTCAACATGATCCTTTCAGATTTTTAGAATCCTATGTATGAGCTTTTCTAAGATAAACAGCCATCTCTTTGTTCAATAATGGAGTAATTTTAACAGAATTTTTTTCTCTCTCTGAGAATCCACTGCTTATTCTATCTCCAAATCTCAACCTTTGAACATTAGCAATATTAAGATATTTTGCTTTATCACCCAGTGTTTTAAATTTTACTTTTCACTTTGTTTTTTATTTGTTTGTTTTGTTAGTCTTCACCCGAGGATATTTTCCCATTGATTTTTAGGGAGAGTGAGAGAGAGAGAGGGAAAGACAGAGAGAAATATCGATGTGAGAAACACATTGATTGATTGCCTCCTTCACCAGCCCTAACCAGGGAGGAGCCTGCAACCAAGGTCTGTGCCCTTGGCTAGAATTGAACCCGGGACCTTTTGGTCCATAGGCTGATGCTCTACCCAGTGAGCCAAAACGCCTAGGGCTACTCTTCACTTCTTCAATGGATCTGCTTCAGCCACCCTCTGGTTGTGGTGTCTGTCAGGTGGAGGTTTTGGGGCATATCTTTTACAAACCTTTCCAGAATCCTTTTAAACCCCATATATTCTTAAGATTAAGGGCTGCTGCATTCAACAAATATTTCTTCATATGTTTCAATTAAAAATTTCATGTTTTATTTCCAAATAAATAGAAGGTATGCTTTATGAGAGTAAACATTTTTGATGGCTTTAATAACCAGTTCAAATATTTTTTCCTGAGAATGTAAACTTTATAATTTTACATTGAGACATATGTTTATGTATGTCTTTTACTTTAAATTATATTACTATTTGTCCAATGCTGACTAGCGTCAGGCATTGTTGTAAGGGTTTTACCTATATTAATGTATTTGAACTCACAATAGCCCCATGAATATGCTCCGTCATTATTTCCAGGCACAGAGAGTTTAAGGGACTTGCCCCCAATCACACAGCTTGTAAGGCTGGACCCAGGCCTCAGACTCAGCAGTCTGCCTCAGATGCCCACTCTCCCACGCTCTGCTGTGAAACCTCTCTGGCCAGATGTGCTCTGTATTTAACTTGTTTCCCAGACTCATACACATGTGGGAGCTCATTCACTTCTAAAACCACTAGGACTTTACACTAAGCTAGGCCAGACACAGATACTGTATGATTCCACTTATAGGAGGTGCTGAGAATAATTAAACTCACAGAGGTAGAAATTAAAATGGTGGGTGGCAGGGGCAGAGGGAGGGAAGAATGGGGAGTTGTTGTTTAATAGGTACAGAGTTTCAGTTTTGCAAAATGAAAGGAGTTCTGGAGATGGATGGTGGTGGTGATTGCACAACAATTGATTGTATTCAATGCCACTGAACTATGCCCTTAAAAAAACGGTTAACATGTTAAATGTATGTTATGTATATTTTACTACAATAAGAAATGCAAACCTCTATCTCCCCCCAACCCCTACAAAAAACAAACACAAACAAAAAACCCAACAATAACAACAAACACCACTAGGATTTTCTTTAAAGGGATGGTGATTCAGTGAACACAGAGTACCTGCTTGTCAGTAGGAGCAGCCAGGTGATGGGATAATTGTGTTCAACTTCTTGGGACACTTCCGAAGAAGTTGGGGATTGACTGAGAGAAACTTAGGATTTGGAAAAGTATGTGTGCATTGGATTCCGTCATGCACGCTTCAGCCACTGTGTTTTGAGATGGTGCTGTGCATGGGTGGCGAGACCTGAGCAGTGTCTGATCCATCTATAACTCACCTATAATCTTGGCAGGTCTCCTGGCTGAGCTCTGAGATTGGTTCTCCCCATTCAGTGCTCCAGCTCTAGGCAGTTTTTGCTTCTGAGTGATGGTCTGTGGCTGCTGTGTTCTCCAATGTGTCACAGCTCCGTGGTCTCCCAGGCCTCGTGGGCCAACCCTACCAGGAGGTGAGTCATTCTCTGTTTGAGGGAGAAGCCATTGGCATCCAATGTCAATTCTCCTTTGTCCATAACCTGAGTCAAAAGGATACTTTCTTGAATGTTCCAACCTCCACCACCATAATATAATAATAACCACTGTTTTGTCAGGCACTGTGTTACACAGGCAATCACATTTAATCTTCTCAGCAACCCCGCTGGCTCAGGGCCAATACCCCAACTAACAGATGTGCACACTTCCTCCAATTTCCCCAAAGGAAAAAAGGCTCCAAATACACCCGCTCTGAGCACCCTGGATGTTTGATTCAGCGCTTTTCTCAATGTGTAGCTACGGATTTGTATGATTTGTGTGAATGTCCAGCTCCCCTGCTAGACAGAAAGTTCCACCCCTGCTTTGTTCCTAAATCACTCTAGCCAGAAGCTCGGTGCTAAGGTATAAATTAGGCATTTCCCAAACATTTGCAGAATGAGGAAACGAGTTGCATAACTTGTCCGAGATCACATTGTTAATAAGAGACAGGCTGAAGAAGAGGTCCAAATAAAACCCTCTAGGGGTTTTATAACACATCTCTTCCTTGTGTCTTATGTTTTAAAAATTATATAGGTGCACACACACACAACATTTTTCTTAAAAAGGGCACAAGGAAGAGGAAAGGATAAGAAAAGGAAGACTTGCATTTCCTTAGGGGGAAGCACACCGAGGGAAGGGCGCTGATCCTTCCCTGAT